AAGGCCTCGCCGCCAGCACGGGGCAGGAAGCCCCGCCACAAAAAGCCCTGTGGTAAAAGCACTCAGCAGGATAAACACTGAAAATGATGCCGCAGTAAAGAACACCTGCGTGCCTTTCCTGTTCTTGGTAGGGACGCTTAATAAACACAGCTTTATAGCTGCTATATTTAAATGCAATTAGTTCCATACACTTCCAGCTTAATAAGAAAGAATACATATTCATTTCTGCTCATTAACAGTCAGTATATAACTCTTAGCTAATGAACATTCAATTATGTCCCACGAATACGTTGTGGGATAAATTCGCTTTTTGTTGCTCCTATCAGTTCAGTTCGKTTGCTTCTAATTAAAATTCTTTTGCCTCATGTAGACAAAACTGGTTTTTTTGGAGTCCCCGGAGACTTTCCTAAGAGTTCTGTTTTATCTTTATGTACAGTCAGCTCCCTAATTAATGCTTTAAATAGGGTAAACTTCACTGAGACTCCTGGGTTCAGTTCAAAGGAAAAAAGAAAAACAGTTAATTTTGTATCTCTTTCTCACACAATTCACTGGAGTCCCTCTTTTCCCTATAAATCTACTTTTTTCTTTTGTTTTCAAATGAATTAAACAGCCAGGAAGGTGCCAGTTTTGCGAGCACTGGAAGCTGGAAGCACTTCCATCATCAATCTGAAGCTTTCCTTACCCAGACAAACAGCAGGGAAGCTCCGGTCAAGCTGTGCAGCCCTGCAGCCAGCTCAGGTGAGGAACTCCAGGCGAGGGCTCTCCGGAGGGACAGCCCCAGGAGCCTCCTGCAGTTAATACTACCACGATTTTCAGTCAGCATCAGCAAGACCAAATGCTAATGTATTTTGTCTAGCTTGTTCTCAGAGCCAGCTCAGCAATCTCTTCCCTGTCTAGGCCCCAAAACCTAACCTGGGTCCTACTTACCACAGCAAGGATGAAAACAAGCAAGTTAAGCATTTCCTTAAGTGCCTGCCTTTGTGGAGGTCATTGCCAGGCATGATTTACAAACTTAAGTTTGTAAATCATGCCTGCCCCTGCTTTCACCTGCCTGCTGCTAGTTCAGCAAGAGAAAGGAATGCAGCAGAAGCAGCTTCAGTTTCCCTCTCTTACAARGCAGATTCTTACTCTATTTGATCTATGACAGAGACTGGGCTGGGCGCTCAGCTTTCCGCAGCGAGGAGAACAACTTCTCCCCAGTAGCAATAGCTAGAAACAACACTCAGATGTAGGGAATCCTTTGCAAAATACCCAGGCAAACATTGCATGAAACCTATGAGAATCAACACAAAAGGTACAAGCCTAGCACACAGTATTACTAGACAGTATATTACTACATATTACTATCTATTACTATCTATTACTATACTACGTATATTACAATATATTACTAGAGCGTACTAGACAGTAAATATATTGGGAATAAGGAGAACAGGCAAAGAGAATTTGTGCAAGAGAAGTTATTTAGGAATACCCAGAAGAGAGTTCAGCTTGAGATGTGTTTGGGTTTTRTTTAACAGAGAGGGATAACTCCAAGACATGGATATTTCTGGAACGTATTTAGAGGAAAGGAGCAGGAGTGTCTGCACACAGGCACACACATGCACATGTGTGCACCTACCAGCATGGGCACCTGGCTGCCTCTGGGCACATCCTCAGGCCTGCAGTTCTGCAACAGGGCAGGAACTGCTCGGTTCTTGTTTTAAGATGTTTTCTACTGAGAAACATGCAGATCTAGATTCCCAGCAAACTCAAACTGATTTACAGAGTCCTAATGACTTASAGCATGCATTATCTAGCCCATTGAACACTCCAGTGAAAGGCACTTTTTTATTCATTGCTAAACAGATACCAGTTCTAGTTGCTGTTAAGTTTTTTTTTATTATTAAGTTACCTTTTGCGATCAGAGCTATTTTTTTTTCCCCAAGGACTGCCATTTAATTTGTTCATTTTGAATACAGATGTTGGAAATGTATAGAGGGATTCTAACTCTTCCGTGGGAAGAGTTCTATCCACAGCTAGTTGGGTCTGCACAGCAGACCATGTTTATCCCCCTGGGACTATCACCCGGCAGACAAGTATGTCCACACTGCTTAGCACTAAGGCAGAGTCTCCTTGGAGCCTCTCACAATGCCCTTCTGAGCCTGGGATATAATTATCAAAAATGCCTGAGGCTTCTTCGTTCAAAATATCTCTGGCATCCTGCCCCAACGGTATTTACAGAGCTTGACCCTGAGACTGTGTACTGCAAGGCATGAAGACCTTGGAGGACACTTGCCTTACCAGAATAGCTCTGGAAGGGTGTCCTGGGTGGAGAGACACAAGCTCGATGTGACTTGTGCTATGGAATTGGGCTGCACTGCTGATTTCCTCCCAGATTTCCTCCTGGAAGGCATCAGTTGGCTTTGGTCCAGGAGGGAAGGGCTGAGTGAACTTCCATCRAGGGACCAGAAAGCAAGAAAGGACAAGTTGAATGGACAGTGGGAACACAGTGGGAATCGATTTCTGTTCTCATAACCCTTTGGCTCAAGCAGTTCACATTGAATGTCACAGAGAGCAAGAGGACAAGGAGAGCCAGTACACTGAATTGCAGCAGCACTTGGCATAGGGCAGCTCTGCAGCCAGCCCTTGTGGAAGCGCTGAACTTTCCTCTCAGGCAGTCAACAGATGCTGCCCAAAGTTTCCCGAGCAGCTGAGTGCTCCTTCTTACACCACYGTGGCCGCACGATGGGGCGTTTCTGTCCAATGCAAGCTGGCAATTCAAATATGAAGCCGGTTTTCAATTGCTCTATGAAAATGCCCTTGTGAGTGTGTTTTATAAAGGTAAGACAGCAGAGAATCAGGAGAATCAATCAGAGAAATAATCAAAATGACTACTTATTTTAGCTTAGTGTTCACAGCAGGAATTTCTGAAAGATTTACAAAATGCTTGCAAGGATTTAATATTCTCTGATACGTATTTTGTCTATATCACACTCCAGATAACCCTTACTGAAATCTAGCTTTACTTAATATCATTAGGGTAGAAAGATATTACACTGTATTTGCATTTGGGTACGCTCTAAAGATACCAGAAAGAGAGAATAAACTGTCCCATAAATTGTGAGGGAATAATCTTAAATCAATCCAAACCAAATATAYARTTTATAGTACAACCTCCACAGACTTTTAAAAAGCTACGTGTTGGTTTACCTCAGACATGAGCCCCTGTCTTTTACTATAGAAACGGTTCCTGGGCTGTCACATACTGCTACTACGATTCACTTTGATTGAACACAGAATGACAGCTTTTCCAAGACCACTACTACAATGACAACAAATTTATGGCTGGAATCAATACAATATTGSATAAAAATCCACTGACATCTCCTGGTGAAAGAAAAGGATCGTGATTAAAGGCATCTGTTTCACACCAGCTTGGTGGCACTTTCTGTTAGTGGCTCATGGATGAAGGTTCCTTTTACTACAGGTTCATAGAATAAAAAGTAGATATTATCCAAAAGACACTGCTATCAATTCAGACCAATGAATTACACATGAACACATGTAAAACCTTTTATCTTTTTCACCTCCTCACATATTCTGAGCATTAAAACAGTTTCTGTGCACTGCATTTGTGTCTGGATGCGTACAAAGTTAAGCCTTTCTGCTCATGCTGTGGTTAACAGTATCAGGCTGAAGGGAGTAAATACTTATAATCAATGTCATTTTTTTCCCCACAAAATCGCATGTCACTAAAGCCAGACTCCTACACAGTAAAAGCATTAGGGCTGTAAAACCAGATGTTTTAGTCCCAGTTCTACAAGTAAAATCAGTATAGCTATCTGAGAAGGACAAAAGCTGCATGTTATTCTGAGGACTTTGGACTGCAAATAATAAAAACTTGTCTAGAAATGGATCTTGGCATTGTAATGAATCATAGCTTGACTCACAGGGTTAGGCTGGCGAGAAAAAAAGAGCAGATACTATAAAGGGATGTGAAAGTATTATGCATTAATCCTCCCTGCCCACTAATTAGCACTAGTCAGTCCTCCTCAGGAGCAGTATTTCTAGCTTGGGTACTTCAAGAAAAGTATCAACTTGTTAGGGAAAGGCCAGAAAAAAGCATTAGGAATGATAAGCAATTCTGACTCAGTGACCTAGGAGGAGACAAAACAAAAAAGTTGTTTAGTGAAGAATCTGAAAAGAATCACAAAAACACCATTCAGAAGCACAACAAGTAGCTGCAAAGAGTTTTCACCTCCCCTGRGAATGGATTTCAATTGAAAGAGCCTAGTTAGGCATCAGAAAAAACTGTCCCGTGCCATTAGGAGTGAAGTGCTGGAGCGGGTCCAAACACACGCTTTGAGAGGGGCCTGAAGCACCATCCAAGGAGCCAYGGCTGGAGCCTGGATCCTCCTGCTCTCCAGCCTCGGCTCCCACCCCATCCCTGCTCCTCTCCACGGTGCTGTGGGAGCAGCCGTGCGACACCCCGCGCTTCCCACGCAACCGTCATCTCACCCACGTCTATTGCTGTGACCGCTCCTGCAGCGCTTGCGAAACACAAATACTAATTTTATAATAATTAACGCTTGTAAATCATGATGAGGTCTTTGTGGCGGTCGCCACCTCCAGGTGGGAACTGGACCTGGAGAGTTACATGGCTGTTTTTGCTAGGAGCCCCAACCAGTGCGGTGAGGCTCAGGGTAAGCGGCAGACCCTCAAGGATGGACCGGAACCTCTGCCTGAGGGGCAGTTGGGATAAGGGAGGCAGGTAAAGGAGCATCCGAAACGATGCCCTTGGGGAGGCCGGGGCGGCAGGCCCTGCGGGGCCGGTCTCCCCTGCGTGGGCAGCGCGAGGGCCGAGGTGACCGTTTCCCCAGCGCGGGACATCCTTGAGCAAGGAGGCGGCTCCGGAGGGTGCCCGGGGCGGACAGGGCCCCGCGGGGCCGTCCCCTGCGGGCACCTGCCCACGGCCGCGCCGGGCGGCTCATGCGCAGAGCGCGGCGGGCGGGCCGGCCATGGCGCCGCGGGTGCTGCCGCTGCCCCGGCAGCGCTCCTTCCTGCCGCCCTCCGTGCGCAACCCCTTCGCGCACCCGCGCCGCCTCAGCGCCGCCGACAAGCTGCGGGTAAGGCGGCGCGGGGATGCGGGGGGATGCAYGGATGGATGGCAGCGGGACGCGGCCGCTCGCGCCTTGGCGGCAGCCCTGGGAGCGGGAGCTCAGCCCCGTCCCGCCGAGCTCCGCCGCAGAGGAAACATCTCGGTGCTGAGTGTGAACGGAGCCCCGTACTTCCCAGAAAGGGAAGCCGGGGGGAACGCGTCCTTCCCGCACCGCCTGCCCTGCTTCCTCACGCAGCCTCGGGCGAGACGCGAGCGCGGGTTAGTTCTGGGCTCGAGGCAAAGGTGCCCGGGGTAAAAAGCCGCTGCGTGTTGAAGTCCTTGGGTGCCCGTGCCAGGGCTGCCCCGCCGAGCTCTGCAGCCACCCTCGCAACGTGGCCCCTCGGCGGGCACAAAACGGGGCTCGCTGCGYGTCGAGAACACGGCACCCCGGCCCAGGCCTCAGCGGGAAGCAGCAGGAAAACTTCCCTCTGATACAACAGGCCAAAAGGACAAGATAACCTTGYCTTCTCCTCCTTCTTGTATCCCCTGTGTGACAGGGAGCTTGCTGAGGTAGACCCCTCCCTTTTGTAAAATCTTCTYTTTAAACCACCTGAGCTGATGAAGCAGGTACGAACCCAGCTCGCGGGGAGGACGATGCGCAGTGCAGGCTGCGGACAAGCTTGCAGCTTCTTTCTGCTGATCTTTTTAAAYACCTGGGGCTGACGTGCAGCTAAATACTCTCTGCGTTGTGCAGCACTTCCTCGCATCAYGAGCAGCGCTTGCCCTGGCGGTAGCCAGGCAGGGGAACTGCCAGGGACCCAGAAAATAATTTCAGCCTAACCAGTCCCTTACATTTTACTAGCAGCCCTAAATACTTCTCAGGTGCATCAGATTCACTGCAGCCATGAGCACCAAGGAAMCAGTGCTGGGTTCTTCATGCGTCTGCAGAAGTGGGCAGCTTTCTGTGCTGGTGGCTCCTTAGAGAGGATGCACAGACTGCTTTAAAATTTTTATTTGTTAATATATATTTTTGTCCTTTTTCTTTACTAACCTACCTTGTCCTGTCTCTTCTCTGTCCTTTTCTTACCCTGCTCTGCAGCCGACGGAGCAGAAATCAGCTCTGCCTCATTACACAGTAACCCAGAAAGCCCACTGCCTGCATCAGCACATCAGCACTCCCTGCACATCTGCCCAGAATAGATTAATGAATTTACCAAGCTCTTGAGGAAGGGGTTGTTTTGGTTTTGCTATTACACCCTTTATTTTCATGGTAGGTCAGTGCATATTCCCTCCCTTTCTTCAGAAGAAAAATATATAGCTCAAACCAAAACACCCTGACTTTGCAGAACAGGCAACATCTGTGTTACTCAATGAAGTGTTGAGCTTCAGCATCCAGGTTCAACTTCCAAACTGGGAACATACAGCTTATACTTACAACTACTTAGACAGAGACAGGCAAGTAACAAGACAGGCAGCATCACAGAGGCTTCCTGGATGCCTTGACGGTGTGGATTCACGTGCAGGAACAGAGCCCAGGGGCGTTTCACCATCGAGGGGCTTCCTTGGGGCTCGTGGTGCTCGCTCGGGCTGCGTCGAGCTCTGTTGCACCACAGAGACCAACCTCAGGGCCACCTTCCTGAGCTCCTTTGCTCAGGGGAAGCAATGAGGAGCGTGGCCCTGCCCTCCTGCTGCACAACTGGCTGCTAGCGCTGCCCCAAAGCACCTGCCCCACACAGCAAAACCTGGCAACACACATAGCTGCTACACGGGCATCTGAACACTGCAATCATTAATGCAATCCTCAAAGTCCTCGCTAACCATTTCTTCGTTTTTCCCTTCCTTTTTTTCTCCAGACCATCCTTCTAGGGATTATTTTGTTGCCTCTCCGTACCATATGCATCGTGATCATTTTATTGCTAGCTTGGGTGTTTGCATCCATTGCAACTTTTCGGCACCCTAGAAAAGGATCTGTACCCCTTAAAGGATGGAGAAGGTAAGAGGTAACTGAGGCTTGGGGAAAACTCTGTGCTTGCCTTTTTTAAAAAGAACAAATGAACAAACAAACAAACAAAAACCCTCAAAATTAGGCCCTGAAATTGAAACACACTTGGGACACACTTTGGGGCGTTCCCATGTGTTGCCTTATATTCAAAATTGTAATCTGCTTCCAGCACAAATAGCTGACAGTCCCTCCCCCTGCCTGGCACACTGAGCAAGGTTGTTTTTGTGGGTGCCTTTTAAAACATGAAGGAAATGCTACCTATAAGATGAGTGATGTTATTGCGTGTGTGTTTCCCAAAGGACGATGATCCGGAGGGCCCTCTCGTGCCTGACTCGCACCGTATTCTTCGTGATGGGTTTCCGGGTGAAGGTGAAAGGGAAGATAGCGGGTCCGCTGGAAGCGCCCATCTTCGTTGCAGCGCCTCATTCCAGCTTCTTCGATGCCATCGTTTCTGCCCTCACTGGGATGCCCTCGATGGTGTCCAGGGCGGAAAACCTGTCAGCTCCACTGTTTGGCAGTAAGTATTTATGAAAAAAATATATTAAAAGTCAGTGCACGTTGATGTGAGCCCAAAATCCTAATTCTGCAAGTGAAGCAGGGGCAGACCTTCCCAGGCCCTCAGGGTCTAAAACTACAGACAGTCATTGCTAAGATTTTTCAAAGCAAATACTTTCCAGTGAAATATGGGTCAGAACAGCTTGAAGTACGTTGTTTCCCGGCAGAAATGGGATATCGGATCWCTTCAAATTTGCTTCACATTGAAAGCCTGTTTCATAACTGCTCACACCAGAAATGTTCTCYGCAAGTTCTCCCCCTGTGCAGCCTGAAAAATCTATTTGACTGCTGTCTATTAACAGGCTGGTCTGCAAATGGAAACCACAGATTGCTGAAGGTCGTTTCTAAACAGACCTGAGCTACAGTAATCTAGAAAACACCACGTTCCTAAGCTGAAGCTTGCAGGCAGAAGGTTACAGATTGTTTTAATGGGAGTAAAACGGAAGGAATTAAAGAGAATGCAAAGAATGCAAAAGATTAGATGAGTCACGTTTCTAGTATTTCCTCCTCCTTTTGGCACAAAAATAAGGTCCCATTTGTATTAYTACTTGAATCAGCTGTAGACTGTGCTGGCTATGTAACTTTTCTGTCTAAAGGACTCTTTAAAAGCCACCACTCGCTCAGAACTAAACTAAATAAGCCACACAGAAAATAAGACTTTGGGGGAAGTTAACTAAGTGGCAACGTTCTGACCCTCTCTTAAAAGCTGAGGAATGGGACACGGTTCCTCCCCAGTTTCTTGTCCCCTCTCTGGTACATTCACACATTCAGACAYGGACTTTCAAACAAGTTTTGTTCTTGGCACTTTACACAAGAGGTAGAGAACACCTGAACCCACATCAAGTCTGACACGGAGTAAAGTGTGGCTCTCTTTCACAGCAATCCTGAGCTCCCTTCAGCCCGTCTCGGTGTCGCGTCAAGACCCCGACTCACGGAAGAACACTGTCACCGAGATAACAAACCGGGCCATGTCGGGAGGCCAGTGGCCACAGGTAACACAGAGCCCGCGGCTTTTCCATGCGTTCCTTCTCCCTATGCATTCTCATTCTGTGGGAATGCCAGTAGCCAGCTCTATCTCCAAAGACACCCAGTGTGGACTTATGCAGTGCCTCATACTTTATGTTGTGCATTAGTTCTTGATTTCTTTATGTGGCACTCTTTGCTTAAAACAAAAACCAAAAAGTTCAACTGGCCAGTTTAAGTTGCGAAAATAATGAGGTCTCTTTAGTTATAGTTGGCTACTTTCTAAATGATGCAGCAGGAGAGCCGGGGATGCCACTGACTGATTCCCAGCCCTGTGCTCTGGTCACATCTTCCTACTCCTGCCATGAGACTCCTGTCACATGTCCTGGGCTGTCTTTCAGTGCAAGAAAAAGAAAGGGCCAGGGACTCTTACCAGAGCCACAGTGCAGCAGGCTGGGCCATGCACAAGGGCCCGACTGTTGTTTCTCCCAACCCTTCCGCAGCACAAAAGGGGAGCCCTGTGGCTTGTTGCTCAGCTGGTACCGTATGGGTCAAGGCTACACAGTGGCCCGCGATGCCTCTGGGCCCATAGGCAGCTCAGTAAGATGCTGCTGCCAGGGTGATTCTGGATGGACGAAGGCCTTCCCACAGCTTTCCCTCCTTCAAAGCAGACCGTATGATCCGGGGTCTCTCTCACCCACGTCCTGTTCCGCCCCAGCACCGGGATCCCGCACTAGGGATGCAGGGTGGCACGCGGCATCGCTCGCACAGAGCCAGGCTTCGTGGAGCTGAGGCTCGAGTACAACCCCCGTGTGACGTGAACACGCGCTCATTTTGTGTCTCTCTAAATCCCAGATCCTCATTTTCCCGGAAGGCACCTGTACAAACCGATCTTGCCTGATCACCTTCAAACAAGGTGAGAGATTTTGTTGATTCTTTGTTGGAAAATAACGTGTAAAATACAGCAGCGCTAACAGGACAGCTTCCAACCACCAGTATTTCCATTTGAGTGTTTTACACTATTCAGTTTGCTTCTCCCATTTGGGGTATTTTGCAGCAGGTAAAGTGCATGTGATGTACACTGGCTAGTTGGCTGGCTTGCTTTCTGGGTTCAGTTTTCCTCTAATAAATRTCTAATAATTTCAGTTACTCAAACACATGGCTGGCCCTTAAGGGCTAAGCTACCAGAATGCTGCCTCTTCCCATTTGCTTTGAGCTCAGTTTACAGTCATGTCATCCTGCCTTCCTATAAGCCCTTGCTAAGCAAGGCCTAGTGACCACATTATGTATCTCTTAGGTGTCCTGCTCAGCAGCACAGCCTCACAGGCTGTTTTTAACACACAAAGGTCCTAGAAGCAGCACTGACCATTAGGCTGCAGAGCTGCCCTTGGCCAAATCGCCGTCCCCAGACAGCAAAGCTGCAGAACCAGCCCCACGTGCTCCCAAGCCTGTCACTTATCACGGCAATCAGAGCAGGGCTCAGGAAATGTTTGCAACAGCCTGATCTGCTCATCTGTGCTTACAGGGGCCTTCATTCCACGCGTTCCTGTGCAGCCCGTGCTGCTCCGCTACCCCAACAAACTGGTACGTAGAGCRCTCTCCCGTCGCCAGCCGCTCATCCGGGAGGCAAAATCCCAACTTAACGCGTTATGGAGGCAGTATCTGCTTTGTCAGGGAGGAATCTATGGCCCGAGCTCCAGCCCTGGCTGCTACATAAGCAGCGGCTCCCCGAGCGCCGGGGGGAGAAGCCGCGCGGCGGAAGCGAGAAACTTCCTGCAGAGCCGCAGAGCCTCCTCCTCGCACAGCAACTTCCCTGCTCGACAGCTTCTCCTTGAGCTCGAGGACCTTTTTTCCTGCAAAGGGGCTCGCCAGCAGCCTCAGAATGAAAGCAAAGCCGAGTTAGGCAGCGCCAAGGGGTGTTAGAAGGAGCACAGATTCCTTCCTAAAYCCTCGTGCAGGTGACTTTCCCATCAGTGACGCGACTGGCTGGAGGGAACCAGCCTCGTAACAGTGATATATAGCGAGTAATAACCAGGAGAAGAAGAAGGCAAAGGAAAAAGGGCAAAGCAAAGGCATGATAGATAGCTCGTGCYGTTACGCCTTGAAAACTAAATCCAGCTTATTTATGAGGGTGCCTCTGTAAAGGGACCGGAGGAGTCTTCCCAAGAAGTCTCACTAGGTGTTTCTCACCCACACACTTCTAGCTGAACAAATAATTTAAAATAGCTCAATAACTACATAAATTTAATTCCCAATTATTGGTATTTCCGAAGCCTGTCATGCTTATTTCCATTTTTTTAAGACACGGAATCCTAGTCATATTAACACCTGTATTTTCACTGCAGGACCATAAAACCCTCATCTGTTTTTACTAAACTTGTGCACRCTCTACCCTGTAACTGAGTGGCTCTCTAGCATTTATCTGATTTTGTCTTATATTTCTGTCTTATTTTTTCCCTAGGACACAGTGACCTGGACCTGGCAGGGCTATTCATTGTGAGTTTCTTAATCCTACTGAAAATTACATATAGATTTTTTTCCCCCCTCTATTGCTAAACAATTTGCCAAATGGCTTCAGCTAAGGCACGTTTGCCTCAGGTATGAGAGACAGTATAGAAAGCAGCGAGGAAGGTGAAGTCGTGGAGATTCCTGTGCACAGGAACCATCCTGTGCACCAACCATCCCACAAGCTGGGATGGTTGGTGCAAAAGCTTGAGRTTCTTAACAAAAATACCCCTAAGTGTGACTGGGAAGCGGAGGAGCTGATGGCAGCGTGCAGGGCAGTCRCTCTCTGCATTTTGCTGCCAGGATGTTAAATATTAGTCTCCTTCTCAGAAGTCCCCTGACCCAGATGCTGCTTTCACATAYGGCTCCTTTCCTCCTTTTGTAGCTTCCTGGAAGGAATGCCTAAAACCACATGTTACAACATCAAGCACTTCCCACATGCAGCAGGAAGCATCACTGGACTCTTCCACTACATTTTGCCCTTCTTTTCAATCCAAAATAAAAAGATAGCTTGATAAACAATGATTTACAACACTTAAAATGAAGAACAAATATGTGTTTCCGCTTAAAAGTTAAAGTGAGATGAACCAGCCTTCCAGAAGTGAAAGCAATTATGCTTACCCTTTTTCCCAGCTTCTTCCTCTCCCTACTTGTTAATGGTAAAATCAGTGACTATTTCTTAAAGCACAGGAGCTCCCAGCCTTACCAGGTTTCTGGGAGCACTACCACACTGTGCAGAATGCAGGAAAATGTGCAGAATGGCCAGCACCTAAAAACGAATTCTGAGAAGGAAGTTACTGCTCCCRTTTTGCAGATGAGAGAATAAAAGATACAGAAATAGAGCTACTTGCTGTAAAAGCTTTCAAATCTAGTGTCCCTTCCCCTCTTAACAATACAATAGCATATATGTTTTGCTAGCCAAAGGCTTTATAGGGTGCCATTAAGGTGCACAAGTGCAAAGACAAGCTGCCTGTCCAGTTATAAAGCTTTCATATGCAAAAGCCCAAGAGAAAAACACTTCAGGAAACTTCCCTGCAAGGTATTTAAAAGCCTTGCCCCGTGTCAACTCYGCTTTGGTTGACGCTTTAAGAAGTTTCATCTATTGATGTGCAAACCCTTGTGTTTAAAATAATTGAAACATGTTTTCCTTCCTCTTTCTGGCCTGCCTGCAGCAAAGAGCTGTGCGTAATGACGCTGTGTCAGCCCTTCACCAGAGTGGAAGTTGAGGTAAGAGGTAGATTTTTATACTGAGGTTCACTAACTGGGGAAGTTACTTACACTTTAACGGACTATATTATTCATATTTTTACTCACTCATTCTCTTTTTCCCCATGTTCTCATTTCCTTGCTCCTCTCCAACCATGCTTCTGACCCAGCCATCCTACCAGACTCTACTCCACAGGTTTCTGCAGCTAAGAACTTGCTTTAAAACCCTTAGTTTTCCGGCTGGGAAGGAAGCTGGGCCTTCCTTACTGAACCTGCTCCCTCTGCAGGTTCATTGAAGGCAACCCCACAGCACAGCAGGCACCACCTTGCTCCCTTCCAAGCGAGCAGGCAGCTCTGGCTCCCCAGTATCACCCYTCTTTACAGACCACACTGGACTGCCAGTGTGGACTAAGTTCACTTCGGGCCCCGAGTACTGGGAGGAATTTGATTTTCTTTGCTGTTCATTTGCAAAACACAGAATTCAGCAACTCTGGAAAGCAGTGTTGCTGCTCCTAACACTTAGTCTGATCTTGGTGGTGCAACCATGAGATAAATATCTCTCTACACTTATGTTTCTGGTGCCATTTAGGAATTTCTTTTTGGTGGGGGCAAGTTGTTTTATGTTTTTTTTTTTGGTTTGTTTTATATAAGATACTGACTTTTACAATATTTATACACATTAATGCTCTACTTGTAATTCACAGTTCAGATTTCCTATCATTGCTTCCATGGAGGAAGAAAATTATCTGTCACTTGCTAAATTAACAGATACCAAGCGTGACTGCAGCACGTATTTTATAATCTTGCACACACTTTTCCAGAATATAACACCCTTAGAAAGGATCTTTTAAAAGGCACATGCAGTATTTCAGACTCATATTCTTATAAAAGTAACATTTCATTTTCCAACTAACTTTGCACTTACTCTAGTTCTTTTTTTGGCGTTGATTTTTCATGTCAAAGCTGTTTTTATGGCTCTTACGGACAGGAGTGGACTGAATCCCATCCACGTGGCTGATGCAGAAGCTGCTGGGTGGTTTTTAAGGCAGCTGAGACCTCTAGTGTCCAGTCCCACCATCGCACGGCTGATTTATTCCCCGCCACTTTCAACCAAGAAAAACCTACCCGTGGTGTTAACTAGGGGGTGACTCCTGAACTGACCACACTCCTCATCTCTTTCAGTTTCTGCCTGTTCACGTTCCCACCGAAGAAGAAAAAAAAGATCCCATTCTTTTTGCCAACAGAGTCCGAGAAACCATGGCGAGGTACGTACTGAGTTGGGACTCAAGAACTTGTCTTTTCCGTATCCAGCATTTCCTATATTGGAAATATATTTCAAATATAGCCTGACCACAAAGCACTTCAGGTAGTATCAGACTGTGCCACAACTCATTCAAGTTCTAGTTATTACATATATGCTAATGCCAACTTCCCATAAATGCTATATTATATAGATGCTATATTATGCTATAATATGCTACATTATATATATGCTAATGCCAACTTCCCATAGCAAATCCCTCTGATTGTTCTTATACAGCATGCAAAGGCGGCTGTCTTAGGTTAACTAAAAGCCATTTTAATGCAAGAAGCTGGTTTTTACTTTCCTCTGACTCCGTTTCAGTGCTCTGAACGTGCCGGTGACGGATCACACGTTTGAAGACTGCAGGCTGATGATCTCGGCGGGGCAGCTGACACTGCCCATGGAGGCCGGCCTGGTGGAGTTCACCAAAATCAGCAAGAAACTCAAGTAAGGAAAGTTTAGCGGTTGGCAATTTAATTATTGCATGACCTCATTGTTGGAAAGATGATTCTGGATGTCAGAAGTAACTCTAAGAAAGTCCTGATTTACCAGAATTGCCTGCTTTTAGTATTAGTAACCATGGGGGGGCAGTACTTAATTGCTATTTCATACAGAATAACAGCCTGGAAATACCCCATTTCTAAAACAAGTGCTTCTTTTGGCTATTTTTTTTTTGTCTTTGAATGCTGTAATAACTCCTTCTGAAATTCCATCTGTCCAAGATCTGGCATATAGAAATATCTCCTCTTCCTCGTGTTTCGTAGCCTAAAATGGAATCATGTCAGGGAGCAGCTGGATACTTTTGCTGCTATTGCTAGTGCCTCCAAAGGGGGAAGAATTGGAATTGAGGAGTTTGCAGAGTACTTGAAGCTGCCCGTTTCTGACGTCCTCAAAGAGCTCTTTCTGCTCTTCGACAGGGTGAGTATTTAGCCTCTTAACTCACTGTTGGCAATGCTTTGTTAAGAAATACATCCCAAAACGGTAACTGGAGTCATCACATCCAGCTTAGTAAACGTTTCCTGGATAGTAACTCCTGCAGGCAAGATAGGTGTCCTGTGTAGTTACCTTTTCCAATGTTTTGATGGGAAAGGGCCTGTCTGTTYGCTGTCTGGGAGCTGGCAGCCACTCCTCAGAACAAGTTACTGCACGACTATCAAATGATAATCTCTGTGCTGCTTGTTCCGGAATGTTTTCCTTTGCCAAGCCTAAAGTCGAGCTCATTTACACCCTGACAGCCTAATGATCAGCTGTTGCTGCTGCGAGCGGGTAATGGCAGGCAGGTTGTGCTCCCTGGAGAACATGTTCCTGCTGGGTTTCCAAGGGTGCTACTAGATGCTACGAGCACCCAACTTGCTGTCTCCAGCAAACCAAACCAAAGTGGATTTGAAGGCTAAATGAGCTTCAGTCCTAGCGGTTGCCAACCCTGCCCAACGTATAGCTTGATGAAGAAAATTAAACAGAGAACAGTGTTACACATGCCGTTAATCAAGAATCTAGAAATGTTTTGGGCTGCTGTCAGCCTTGCACCTTCCCTGGGCTGGATGTGTCCCCAGACCCCAGGAACCTTTCAGCGGCAGGAACATCATTGTCTCAAACCTACATGTTAAYCTCTCTCTACTGTCCCGCTATGTGCCAACACAGGGCAGCATATACAGAATTAATCACGCATCTCAAAGAAACCTTCGTGTGCTTGGGTGAGGCTGCCTTGTGGCTCATGTGTCAAAACCATCATTCAGACCAAAACTGCAACGACCAGCCAGGCTGCTGCAATGAATTCACAGCATTTCCAGCTTCTAAAGCATCTTATTTACTTTAACAGCTTTTAGGACAGTGTATTTGCTTCAGAGAGAGGTTTAACATAGCCCGCATAGGCTCGCTCCAACACCAAGTTGTTAAGAACACAGTACGGCTTCATCCCTAGAATCAATTCCTAGAACTAAACACATTCAAAAGCTGCTACTACTTTTTCTTGTAGGAAAACCTACAAGAARAGTGCTGCAGTCCATCTTAGCACACACGGTGCAGCTGAATTCTGCAGCAACTTATGCAGAGGTGCAATATTAGCTATTAACTCTTGCTATATTTACGGTTGCAGAACGGAGACGGCACCATCGACTTCCGAGAGTACGTCATCGGCCTGTCCATCCTCTGTAACCCCGCCAACACAGAAGAGACTATTCAGATGGCATTTAAGGTACGTTCAGTTCAGTATCAAACTACCAACCTGACGGCTCGAGGCCGGCTGCAAATCTGTCAGCTTTGGGCTCATAAGTTCACCACGTCAATCTGCCGCACTAATGTGAGTAATGCTCTTACACCAATTGACATTTTGAGCATGAAGGGGAGGGAAGAAGTGCAGGAGGGAGCCCTGGAAGGGTTGAGCGCCACATGAACGCACTAAATGAATGTGAAACCTGCCCCCAAAATGATTCAGTGGCACTGAATGAAAACGCCCCCACGTTTTACTTTTTTCTTATTTTTTTAGTGGATCTTTGGCTCAGATTCAGCTGTTTTCCCCACGCTACCTTTTTATGCATTCCTTGAACAGGGCAGTTGATCAGGATCATGTCCATTTCTAATTGGATCCTTTTCAGTAGTGATGCTCGTGCAGGAAGTACCAGTATTTTTATGCGAATACACCRTATCTCCCGGCTGCTTTACAGATTAGGGCTGCAGCATTCAAACAGCTGAACAGCTCGTCTGGGTTCCACAGGGATGGGTTATCAGAGTGCCAGGAAGCCTGGCAGGCTTCTGGTGACCAGTTCAGCTGGTGGGAGCTGCTGTTCCTCTGCAAATACAGCTGGGGGTTTCTGCTGCTTCGCAAGGCTTGGGTCTGCCTAAAGCTGCACAAGCCCGTGGGCTTCGTTTCATAGCTAGTTAATGCAACTTCCCAAAGCTTTGCTGTGTGCTTTTCACAGTACAGAATATCCTGATGCCAACTATATCACATAAACAACTATCAGGCTTAATTCCAGAGAAAATCCATAACATCTTTGGGCAAAAAAAAAGCTGCTACGATGGCATCAATCTCTTCAAATCCCAGGTGTTGTTTGCAAATCCCCTCTTGAACAGCAGAAACCTAACAGGGGTGGCCAATCTGCACAGGTTCGCAGACAAACTGATACTACCACGTTTGTTTCTACACAAATATCTTTTCCAGCTCTTTGACATGGACGACGATGGCACCATAACAGAGGATGAGTTTGCTTGTATCATTCAGTCAGCTCTGGGGCTGCCCGAGCTCGATGTTTCTCAGCTCTTTAAAGAAATAGATGCAGATGAAACTGGGAAGCTCTCCTATGGTAAGTTATGTCCCACTGTAACCAACAACACTGCACAGACACGGTTTCCTACCTCTTTTTTTCCCTGAAAATGTCCCTGTGGCTGGGGCAAACTCAAAGCACAGACCCAGATACTTGTATGATCTGCCCAAGATACTTCAGATGAAAGTATCTGGAGCTTGGCTTCCTTAAAAAGCAGCCCCTCACCCTTTCTTTGATTTTATAGTTGCATTATAATATCTACAGTCTTGTTTTTATCGTTTTAGATGAGTTTAAGGACTTTGCCCTCAAGCATCCAGAGTATGCCAAGCTGTTTACCACATACCTAGAGCTGCAGCGATACCAGCTGAACATGGCAGAGGAGGATGACTTTGAGTGCCCCGAAGCCAACGACGCTCCTGCTCGGAAGAGCACAGGGCCAGGCTCCGAAACCACAGCGATTGCTAGGAATAAAGCCCACCCTGACGGCAATGAAGACGACAACTCCAGTACCTCGGACAAAAAGGATGACTGAGAACGGTCAATAATTCAGTTCCTGAGATCTACAGGGATGTCTTTGCCCAGCTACTCATAAGCACAATTGATGAAGCACAATTCATAAGCACAATTAAGGTTGCAAGTTAAAAAAAATTTTTTTTTTTTTTTGCTTTCCTCTCAGGCTGCAGARGAATATTCCTGTATCAATCAAAGGGAAATAACACTGTAACTAACTCTGTTGCCGGTATCAGCATAGCACAACTGGGAATGTTGCTCAGTGTCCTCCAATTCCTGCTTTCGGGAAAGCACCGGCTGTGGCAGGAGGGGCAATGGGCTCCAGCACTTAAATCACCTCTCAGATCTAAGGACCCTCTTGGGTAAAAACAAGGTGGGATTTTTGTGCTGCTTAATACCTCTTAAGTCCCCAACATGTCTTAAGGGCAAAGAAATGCCAGTGTGTTGTAATCTGGAATTACTGTGAGCCTTTCGGAAGCTTCAGAGAGACAGAAACGAGTTTACAGGAAGCTGAGAGTCGAAGCTGGTCTCTTCTCTGGCTGTCYAAACATTTCCCCGAACTGCTTGCGAACCAAAAAGGCTTCTGAGCAGGACGTGCTGCATCACTGACGCTCACAGAAACAGCTTTAGGCCCAAAGGACACGCAAATATGGAAATGATGCTATTTCTATCAGCAAAACCTAACTGGAAGTCCCACGCAACTCAGTTTTACTGGAAAGTTCAGACATTAAGACCCAAGAATTAATGCACCCTTTCAGAATAAACGGAACACCGGTTACAGTGCAAACTGCTTAGGATCATGTTAGCAGGAGCATGGCAAACTTGAGCAGGTTTCTGTCCTAGCAGTGACCGACAGAGACCTGTGACCTTGCTCTGCACTCCTGGAAAGCTTTGTTCGCCGCCAAGCCCTAGTCCTGCTAGGCAGTGTCTCCTCTGGAACGGCCTCCTAGGACGCACGTTGGCAGCACTGAGCCGTTGCTCCAGGTGTTCTTGGGAGCTGACTCGAGAAAAGCTCATTTCAGTTGGTGATTTGAGCGTGTTTTGCCTTGGGCCTCTCTAGTGCACTGGATATTCAGCTTTGCCTGCTCTGTCCRTCATCAGAACGCACTTTATCTAGTTGGTATTTATGCAAATAACTGCTCAAATAAAGACTTGGGAGGGGTAGGACGACAGGATATTTTCCAGTTAGAGCCAAGATGAGCAAAGTCCAAAAAGTGTGGTACCAAAAAGAACCGATTTGCAGCTGGTTTTCACATAAGACTCTGCCTTTGAAGTCCTGCCTTGTCTGGTCGCGAGCGTGTTGCCGTGTTTAATCTATCCGGTGTCTATAGCTGTGCCTATCCTGATGTTTCACGTGCTTAAAATAAACATATTTTTTAAAAACTTACCAGGACAACGTAGTCTATATAGTACAGTGGGAAGGGTGCTCTGTATGGGGAGGTGCAGAGGAGGTTTCCAGAAAACCACCATACACAATCTGGATAAACAACTCGGGTCGAGTGTCAGGGCTGCTCTCCGTGGGGAGCCCACAGAAGCAGCACGGAGTTGATGCCCTTCCGAACACTCAGCACCAAGTGGCTGCTCCTGCTGACTCCTTCCAGCAAGAGGGGTCTCGATTCAAGGTGTTCTGCAGGTATCTGCAGAGACCATCTCTGTTCTCTGATGTAAAATGACTTTTTGTAACAGGAACATCAGGAGAGGGATTTCTTTCTCTTTGGAAAAGGAGAAGTTGGGGTTACCCTATCTTGGATATACAGTTAGATGAAATGGGTGTTAACTCCTCAGCAAGGTCTCGTTGACCAAAGCTCCAGGCAGTAACTTGTCAGAAAAAGGCTCCTGCTCCAACAAGCTAAAATAAAGACGGGTGGACAAAGCTGTCAAGGACACAGGTCCTTAAAGGCCAAAGCTCTGGCATTTAAGCCTCGGCCCCGGCGAATGCAGCAGTGCTTGGCCACTGYAGCAGGCAGAAAACCTGCAAGTCACACGCAGGGCCAACAGGAGGAATGGAGACAAGAAAGTGCTCGCACGTGTAACTCTACATCCTCTAATACTATTAAGTGAGAAGGGCCACAAACGGGCCCGGTATGTAGCAGTGACTCAACTATGCTCTGAAATCAGCTAAACGTTAAGAGACACTAACTCAATAGACACACGTCTGCTCCATGTGCGGGAAAGGAATACATTAATTTCTAGGCATCATTGTGCCTCGGGGAGCTTTTAAAAAGAGCAAACTAAAAGCAGTCTGCAATAAGCATTGCATTAAGAGGCAGAGCAGGAACTAAACGGGAGGGAAAGGTTAAAAATACCAAGCAGAAAACAGGTCTGAAGGGAGCACTGAGGGCTGACACCTTCCCGAGCTCCCAGCTGCACTTTCCTGCCCGGCACTTCGGAGCACAAGTCCCAAAGCCCAGGGCCTGCTAAGGGCAGGGAAGGTCAAGCAATAAGGTGACCAGGTTCTCCATCCTAGAGCCGTTTGTGGTTTCTGCTCCTCCCTGAGACATCAGCAGCACAGGCTCTAAATGCAGAGCGAGATAAAGCACGCAGCATCCCTGGAGCCCAAGCAGGACCAAGGTAGCCACGAGCTCAAAGCTGCTCTGCAGCCTTTGCAGCCTCCCTCTCTCCCACCAAAGAGCAACTTCCACCACCAAAAGCTTTAACCACCCTATGACTAGAGCTAAGAAACCAATTAAAAACATGAAATATATTTAATTGGGTGGAATCTGCAGGCACTTGTGCTGCACTCAGGCAGCTGCTTTCACTGGCCTGCGCTGAGCTCGAACTCCAAGGCTGTATGGGATTTTAACGACATTTTATTAATTAATTTTGAATCTTTACTCAATGAAATAACATTTATTAGAGTGACTAGCAGTAGGCAGGCGTTTGCCAGTAGTGCTTAAGTTGGCAGACTCTCTGTTACTATACATAGCCAGAGAGGCAGAAAGTAAACATCTTATAGGATTAGCAGCTATGTTCATAGCTGAGATGAAATTTGGACATTTCATTAGTGTAAGATTGATTCTGACATTTCATAAAGCCAAAACGCAAACAAAAAAATGTGTCTGATATAAATACAGTATGCAGCACTTATTCAGATAAAGTTCAAGCGGCGCGGTAGGTTTAGTGCCATGACGAAGGAAATGCAGGAGGGTCACATAAGGACCCAGCTTCAGCTAAGCACCTGGGTGGGAGCTTAATCCTGGGAGCTGCAGCCTGATACTCCGTGCTCATTAACAGCACCTAATTAGACCAACAATTAGGAAACACAAAAAATTGCCAAGGCAAGTTATTGTTAATGGTGGTAGAAATCACACCACCACAGAAAACAGTATCACAGTTGTTCCAGCTGTATCAAAGCTTTCATTTGTTTGGCCATCCTCTCAGTTGAAGATACCCCCTAGTCAGCAACTTTTGACAACTTAAACTTTTGGTGACTTCTGAAATACAGAAAATGTTGTAAGAAGAAGTATTTTGTTACCATACTGGGACCCTAAGTGCTGCTCCTTTAACCTCCTGGACATTGCCCACTCTGGAAGGTTCAAGGATGACAAATGTTCCTTCTTTCCTCTCATTCAGCAAGCCCAGATCCTCTCCTAGAGGACTTCAGCCCAACCGGCCTCCCCTCTCTCTGCTTCTCCAGCTGTTCATTCCTAACTGAAAATCTTAGCTTTTTCCTTGGAGAATTAAAAAAAATTAGTCAAGAACATTTTGATGAACTCAGATTATTGTTAAAAAGATCTTTAGATTTTCTTGTAAAAAGAATAATAATTACTTTGCTTTTGTTAAGGACACTATCTTCCTAAATCTTTACTAAGCATCTAACAGTGAAGCAGCAGCAAAGCACTACAAATTAGAAAGACATGATGAAAGCTTCGAGGCTATAATTGTTCAAAAGGAATAATTTCCTTTTCAAAGGTAAACATCAGCCTTGCAGACAAAGATAAGGCCAAGAGCACAATTAGATACGTAAGTCTGGGCTTCTGCTCCTATCTCCTGATATCAAAGATTGCAGAAAAATTCAAAATGTTTTCTTAAAACGTAAGAAAAGAAACGAACAGGAAAAAGTGTGGGAGACTGGCAGGAGTCAAACCAGAGCCGCCAGCAGCTTTTGGGAGAGCCGCTTCCCCCGGGCCGGAAACCTTTCTAAAACAGGAGATAAGGAGCCACGAACCACAGCAGCTATTCAAGGCAGAAAGAGCTTAAGTGTTTTGAGTTTCTGCGTTGGTCTTTTGAAGGAAAACATGCCAACCTCCATCATGTTCCTTAACTAYACCTCCTAGACAAGTTGGTTCTATACAGAAGTATTTTGTTAATGTACAGAAAGGAGAGAGAAATAGCAGCACAATCAACCTTGTTGTCTGAACATAGGGTTGCACTTCTACTAACTCAAGTCTAAACTCATCCTGAAACTCTGTTGAGTAAATACAAAAGAGAGGCATCTCTCCTACCTCTGCTGCGGCCATTTCTCATGTCACAAGACTATGGTTTTTATAGCAGAGCCTTCTTTTTTAGTAGCAAATATACCCTGAGGACCAAAGACAGCTACCCTTCACGACCATGACTAGCAAGGGCAGACTAGGGGAGTTTAAATCTGCTGCTAGGCATTTGATCAAATCCTCTGCTTCTGTTTATTACAGTGGGACTTGGCAGCTCCAGCAGATGAAACGGCCCTTGAACGAAGCACTGTATAAAACATAACTAGAGTTTCTGTCTTTCCTGAACATTTTAGAGTTTATAAAATAGACAAGGCCAAAGGGGAGGGACAGGCAAGTTCAATGCTCTGTGCCTAACCCTGCACAAGACAGCAAGGACAGAGCTGAGGCGACTTGCTTGCTCTCCCCAGGCATTTTCAGTGATACCAGACACCCTCCTTTCCACCATAACAGTATTATTTTGGTGACAGAATCAAATGCTCAAGGATAAAAGAAAGAGATCTCCATCTCTTCTCCATCTCCATAGAGCTACACAGCAGTTTAAAGGTTGGCAATGCCTGACCTTCTGGTGGAGTCAGCCAGTCTCAATCTACTCTTCTTCCAGCCTAATGTGAATAATTTCACAGCAGACAAAGGGCCCTCCCCTCCGCCCAATCTCTTACCATCTTCCCRAGTGGAGTCAATCTAGAGTAACATCAAAGCGCTCGTCTCCAAGCCTTTGTTTTATGGGTCTGCTAATATTTTTCCTGTCCGCGATGCAGAAGACGCTGCTGATAGAAATATGTCAACAGGAAAACAAACAGGCAGCATTTGACATGCATTAGGCCCAGTCTGGGAGGATAAATAAATCATAGATCAAATATTAATGAGGGGGAAAGCAGTGTTTATCTCTGTCGGGTCACTACGCACACAGTGCCCGTGCCGCGTGGTGACAAGCGCACCCGGATACAAAGAGGATAAAGGCTCCTCTCCTTAGAAAGTTCCTCAGCCACTCGGGAAAACACCCTTCTAGGGTTTTATTGATTGCACAGAATAAAACGAGGCCAGCTACAAGTGTCCATTAGAGATATCCGAGCGCAAGGCAAGCACTGTAAGAAAAACAAGGCCAGACCAGGCCACGCAAGGACCTTCTCTGGATTCCTCCCTCCTCCTTTGCCAGCCAGGGCATGGCCAGAGTCCTTGACTCCCTATATTTAATTACTACTTGTACTGCACCAAAGAGACCAGTTCTAAAACCTGGCTGTGCCCAACAGGGCACAAATCCCACACACAGGTCCAACTCGGCCTACCTCGACCAGATAAACAGCGCAACCCAAGTACACGAGAGGCAGCGAGGGTGAAGAAACAGCAAAGGTGTTTGGGAACATTGCCAGAGGCATAGGCCCCACCTTACACAGCACCACATACTGCGTTGTGTGAAGTAACTGACCCACTGCCCAGGCTCTCCTAGCACGGCCTTTCCCCACGGAACCACAACATGGCAGTCCCAGCCCTCAAATTCACCGTGCCCCAAAGCAGGTCGCGCAGGGCACTTCAATTATCATCTGAAGCCCATCAGAAGGAAGCCTGCCAGGGAGTCTGAAAGACCTAGAACTGACCAAAGTCTAGAGAAGATAAGAATATGGAAGCAAAATTAAATGAGTCTTC